GGATCGATATCGTTTCAGCGGTAGGATTGTAGTATACTAAGATACTAGGATATGGATCGGATAATGACAACCTTGACCACAACCTCACCGACTCCGCGTTGGGTGTTGGTATTTCTTACGATCACAGATAAAATCCGCAAGCGCACGGATATACCGATGTAGCACTTCCCCTACGGAGTATTCCAAGGGTATCGAATCCAAGGAAACGTGTGTGATCAGATCTTCCTCCGGTTCATCCAAGGACACCAAGCGAATGATAGGCCAGGATAGAGATGATTTACTAGTGAGAAACAGTGTCTAGGGAAAGCTTAACTTTAATCCTAATGCAAAACTTCAGGCACTGGCAACCCGCTGTTCCCAGATGTCGCTCTACTACGTACCCGGACAGGGAGGACTTAAGTGATCTCGAGGGCTGTTACCACCTCTACACCCACCTCAAATGTACTGTGGGATACGCAGCAATTACTGGATAATAATTACCTAAACACCACGTCTAAGCAATTAATATCTACTTTAGTGTTTATAACTTACCAAAGCAATCACTATATTTTAGTTGATTATAGTGAACAATAATCCCGTATGCTATTTAGGAACTAACCAAGAGATAATTCTCACAAGATAAATCTAAATTACTCAAGAAGAATATTATATTGAATTCAGAGTAATAAACAGAATAAAAGAAATAGGAGAAGATTACCGACAACTCCGGAATTCTTCCGACTTCTTCTACTCTACTCTCTTCCTATTCTAGTATACAATATAGTATAATAGAGCCTCTTATAATTCAGCTCAAGCTTGGAAGTGTGTGTGTGAAGTGAGGGAGTGATGTCCTTTTATAGGGCAGTTATGACGGTTGTGAGAAGGGGAAATGTCGGAATTGCCCCACAACCGTCATTGGGAGAGCATCTGGAGCGTCCACGCCAAACCCCAGGATCAACGGCGATCAGGGGGGTTCGGCCGAACCTGGGCTGGCCCTCCTGGCCTGGCCTTCAGTCTGTGGACTCCCTAGGCTCTTCTCTGTCCATTTCTCGGAGTTTTGGGTTGATTCACTGATGTTTGATGAAGTTCACAACCCCTCCTTGTATGGATACATAATTCTCCTCACTTTAGTCTAGATTTCCTCCTAACATCGAGGTTTATCACTTGCATACAAATATACACCAACACTATGGAATATGAAAGATTAAGCACCTATCACTATGTTGGATGTTTTATTATCCGAACTTTATGCAGATGTTGGCGGTATAGAATCGATATTTAACAGCCGCCAACATTGGGCGCAATGGCTGGCCAGAGATCGAAGTGTGTCGTAGAGGTTACGCGTTCCATGGTCAGATAGATAATTGGTTGGTTCTCCGCTCACCTCCACCGCCCAATGGCGTCTGCATGGGAATTATTCCGAAGCTCGTCTCCACCACCCAGTCGCATTTGGAGAGGGGAGTAGGGGCTGTAGGGTGCCGGGTCACTGGAGAGGAAGACGCCCCGGCCACTGGCCCGTGCCCCGGTTCCCTTATCCCCTTCACCGACGTGCCTGGTTCAGGGAAGACTGGAAGAGAACAAGGGTAGAGAAAGGAGGAAAGAGAAGGGGCCCACTGACGTGTGGGTCCATTATCTTTTACTATTACTTTTGTTTGACTAACATATGGGTTCTATTAAGTTTTTCAATTTTTATTTTTCTTCTACATCCACGTAAGCGCTACATGGAATGAAGACCAGATCAACGTGTCGCGTGGGATAAAACCGTCATCTAAAACTACTAAGGGACTTGATTTGCCTCGATTTTGATAGTTAGAGGACGTTCTATACCAGGATTTGTGGTTGAGGGCGCAAACGAAAATCAACCTATAGTGGAGGTACCCAAAGTGAACTTTTTCCTGTGTGTTTCGTCTGATTTTTTTCACGCCATAACCCATGGCCTAAATGCAGTAGCCCGTAGTGGTATGCTTCAACTTCTTCTTGGTTGTTGGGCTGGAACAGCCTACACTTCTAACTTTCTTCTTAGTACTTGGGAGTACTTGCGTGGGCTCGGCCAGAAATAAGTTCACTAGAGGTCCCTCAACTTAACAACGGGTGAGAGCCGGCGGGCCTTGGAGGCTGGCGGCAAAGCGAGCCCGGCTGCGGTCGGCAGGTGGCGGGCGGAGTGTCCGACCCCGCCGCTACCGCCGTCGCTCTCACCCGCCACGGGCGCGCTGCACGCAAGCGGCTTCACGGCGACGAGCACTACAGTTGTGCGATGGCTTCATGGCTTCACGGCAACGACGCGGGTGCGCTGCACGTGAGTGGCTTCATGGCTTCACGATGACAGCTGTACTCCTTGTCATTGTTGCGCTACATGCCGCCCCTGTCCACGCCGCCCGCTGGTGACCGCCCTTCTCCCTGCGCCCCGCTAGAGAGGGGGAGAGGAGGCTGGGCGAAGTGGGGAGAGATGAGGCCGATGGGAGAGGGGGGAAATAGGCGGCCTCCGCTTGCCCGCCTCATCCCCCGCCCCTCTGCTCCGTCTGCGCACGGAGTCGCTGCTCGCCCGCCGCTTGCCGCCGACGCCCGCTCACTCGTCGCTTTCCGCCGCCTGTCGCCGCTGACGCTCTGCAGCCGCGCCCGCCCGCCGATGCTGCCGGCGCACCGCTCCGCTTGCCTCCGGCCACACGCTGCTGCCGCTTCCCCTCTAAAACCGAAAGAGAAGAAGAGAAAAGGTAAAAGATAAGAAGATTGCAAACTAGGATGGTTGATCCCACATTTATTTTTTTATTTTTTCGCTGACTAGGATGCCACATCAGTAAAACCAGCCAAAAAAAATACTGCCATGGGATCTCTTTTGAACGGTTTGAGTGAGTTTAGGGGTACATATTTCTGGTTTCGTGGTTAAGGGACCTCAAAAATTCTCGTTGTTAAGTTGAGGGATCTGTAATGAACTTATTCCTTAGGCAGCGTGCCGGCGTATATAATTCAGCTTGGCTATTTGTTAGGGGAAAAAGTACACTGAAGGTCCCTCAACTTGTTAGCCAGATACAAAATCGTCCCCCAACCGTAAAACCGGATATCCGGCGTCCCCCAACCTACAAAACCGGTCAGAAAAGGTCCCTCGGCAGTTTTGACCCCGATTTTATCCCACGTGGCGACTGACTTAGCGTGGGACCCATGTGGGCCCCACATGTCAGATAGACCACGTCATCACCTTTTCTCTTTTTCCCCCTTTCTCTCTCTTCCTCTTTCCTTTTTCCTCTGGGCGTGGATGGCGGCAGCGTCTTCGACGCGGCGTGGAGGAGGGCTGGCGTGGTCGGCGGCTGACAGGGAAGGAGAGACGCGGAGAGGAGGGCCAATGGAACGGGCGGCACCGCCGATGGCTGCCGTCGCGTGGGGAGGAGCGCTGCGGTCGTTGTCGGGGTGAGGTGGCGATGCCGGCGCAGCCGGCGGCTGGCGAAGGAGGAGCGTGACGGAGAGGAGGTCCGAGGGCCGATGCAGCGGCGGCGGCTTCATCGGCGCGACGGGGAAGAGGGGTCGACGCGGCCGACGACGGAGAGGAGATCTAGCTGTCGCCGTAGCCGCTGATGGAGATGGCGAGGCGGCCGCCGTTGGTGCCCTTGGCCAGCTCCGGCCGGCGGTGGTGGTTCTCCTACTGCCAGTAGCCGGTCCAGGAGAGGCGGCAGAGGAAGGGGAGATCGAAGATGACGGCGCCGCCGATGTGGCTGCCGTTTGGCGGGGCGGAGCTGCGGGAGACCGCGGTGGTGGAGCTGGAGCCACACGCGCGACGGCTCCCTGGCCAACTTGCGCAGCCGCGAACAAGGAGAGCCACGCCTTCACCGCTGCCTCGCGATGTCGATGGCGATGAGTTCGATCTCCGGCCGCCGCCCCGCCGCGTGCATGAGCTGGAGGAGGTGCCCGGCGAGTTTCGGGCAGTGAGTTTCGTCTGTGCTTGGAGGGATGGTGGCGTGAGTTTCGGCACTTGCTTGCGACGGCGAGCTTCTCTCCTTAGCTTGGAGCTGGCGGCGGAGGTCGTGCCACACATGCATGCTCCACTCGATCCACTACCAGCTGCATGCATGCACAAATTAAGCTAACCAACCGATAGACTTGCTCCACGTACTAGCATAGCACAAAGCCTTAGCAAACTAACTAAGTAACTAACTAATTAATGATGCATGCAGCGTTGGCGATGCCGTCGTGCGTGAGCAGCGTGACGACGTCAATAGCACGAGGCAGATGACGGTCAGCTTGATGGCGCCGTCGTTCTTGGCGTGGCGGCACGCGAACTCCACCGACTCCCGGTCGTCGGGGCCGCCGAGGAAGACGGCGGTGATCTGGGTCCCCATCTTCTGGTCGTCTTGGTTCCTCGCCGCCGTCGTCTCTTCGCTTGTTGATATCTTGGTCGGCAGCTGGAAGCTGGCGCCGACGGTGCACGGGGCAAGCTCGAGCACCTTGCGGTTGAGCTCGCGGCAATGGTGCTCGCGGGCACCCCGTCGAATCCGTCGTGCTCCGGTAAGTTGTCGACGAAGGAGACGGCGACGAGCAGCCCCACCAGCCATCGGCTTCGTCGCCGGCGACAACCTCACCGTCCCGCTCCGCTACGCCTGCCCCTCGCTGCCGCAGGTCACAGTGGTGGTGGCTGCGGCACTCGACGCGCGTCACAGCATGACCTGCGGGCTGCGGCTGCCCACGAGGAGAGAAGTGAGAGAGAGGAGGAAGGGAGGGATGACGTGGCATCCTGACATGTGGGCCCACGTGGGTCCCACGCTGAGTCAGCCGTCATGTGGGATAAAACCGGGGTCAAAACCGCCGAGGAACTATTGTGACCGGTTTTGTAAGTTGGGGGACGCCGGATATCCGTTGGATATCTAGCTAACAAGTTGAGGGACCTTCGGTGTACTTTTTCCTTTGTTAGGCCGGCCAGAGTTGCTACGGGAATTCAGCCCAGCCCATCCATTTAAACTGGGCCTCCATTCAGGAAAGTCACAGCAGCCCACATCGGACAGGCCCATATCAGACTGGAAGGCCACACCTTGCTAAACGGGCCTCACGGACCCGGCCCACGTAAACCCTCGTGCTCCCCATCCGTTCTAGGGTTTCCCTGATTTAACCCCCCCGCCGCCGCCTCCCACCGCGGCAGCCGCGACTCCTCCCCTACCGCCGCCCTCCCTCGCCGCCGCGACGTCACCGTCTGCCATGGTAAGCGCACTCTCAGCTCCTCCTCTCGTCACCAACCTGATGGGTTCCCCATGAGGCTTACCCTCTGCGGCGCGGTGTGGCTGCCCACACGCGTGTGTGCTGTCGCAGGCGTCGGAGAAGAAGCAGTCCAACCCAATGAGGGAGATCAAGGTGCAGAAGCTGGTGCTCAACATCTCCGTCGGGGAGAGCGGAGATCGCCTCACCCGTGCCTCCAAGGTTTGGCCAGGCTTCTTTTTTTATTTTTTTTATTTTTTCGGTGTACCATTAGCGTTTAGGTTGTAGATGTCCGAGTAGGAAATGAGCTTTTGCTTAGTTACAATGTGATGCATTGTGTTAGCTTGATATCTTGCTTCGATGATTTGAGATAGTGGTGTTTGCTTCGATGATTTGAGATAGTGGTGTGAACTCGCTAATAATTGGTGATTATGACTGTAAGTTATCTTTCTTAGCGGAACCGTGCAAGGATGAAATTGCGGCTAGGGGAATACTAGAATGATGCTTTTAAATTGCCATTCAACTAAGTGATAATCTATTTGCCTGGCTGCTTTAACGTCAGTGTTCAGTTGTGCAGACTTCAGATAAGTATCCTGACGTCTGCTTTATGGTCGCAGGATAATTTGTTGAATTTTTTTCCCCCAGTAGAATCGTTGATCATTGACCATAGAACTAGAATTCAAAGCTGGATGATTCGGATTGCAGTTATATAAAATTCATGAGACAATGACATTATTATGTTTGTGTAAAAAATAGCTAATGGAACTAAAAGGTGACGACTGTTTGTCTCTTTCAAGGTTGTGTGGCAAAAGGAAAATAGTTCTGAACTACTGTTTGTTCTTATCCTGGTCATATCCTAATCTCTAATTGTGAACAATTGTTTTAATTCCGAATTGCTGAAAGGTCAAGAATGACACATCGCTGTTTTAGGTATCTGTTGCTATTGTTAATGCCAAACTGTTAAATTAAGTTAACGCCAGTTAATATATTTTCCATGTACTTTCAGGTCTTGGAGCAACTGAGTGGGCAGTCACCAGTGTTCTCTAAGGGTAGACATTCCTTTCTTGTCTGCTAGTTTTATTGTCTTGTTCATGACAACTTTGTTGACAGTTGTTTTGGTTGTCCACTTTCTTCAGCTAGATACACCGTTCGCTCATTTGGCATCAGGCGTAATGAGAAGATTGCGTGCTATGTAACTGTTAGGGGTGAGAAGGCAATGCAGCTTCTTGAGAGTGGACTGAAGGTGAAGGAATATGAACTTCTGAGAAGAAACTTCAGTGAAACTGGGTGTTTTGGTTTTGGAATCCAGGAGCACATTGATCTTGGCATCAAGTAAGATTTTCAACCTGTGTTGTTCATAATTAACTTCGAAATTTACTGAAATAATGAGAGTACAACTTTGGGTATAGTGTAGCTTTGATGTCTTTGGTTGGCAATATAGGATTTCTGTAGTCCCATCATGTTTTCCTTTTGTATGTCTTTCCATGATACTATTTGATAGTCCATCTATATTTGAAACTCTAAATTGTTTTCTCCTTGTCCACTAGGACTACATTCATCTACTTATACCATTCGCTTCCACAATTTTATGGTTGTAGCTTATATTAGTAACAGTGGGCCAATGACTTGAATTAATTGTCCGTACCATCTGAAGCTTGGCATTTGCTGGTTTATTGATGTACCTTTTCTTCTGAGGCCTAAACTGTTATCATTTACAATTATATTTCCATGATGAACTGACATCAACAGCTGGATATTGTAATTTAAGTGTTATTCATATACATATTGTTATTTGTGATATTCTTTTTCTTGACTGAGCACAATTGCAGTTCTCGCTCTGCTGAGTCTTGACTACTATGGTTTTGTGCATTCACATTTCACATCCTGAACAAGATTTCATGCTATCTATCATACTTTTTAATCACCACTACCTAGTAAAATATAGAAATGATTTGATATAAATAACAACTTTTGTTTTCGTTTATTAATTGCGATATACTCCCTGTTTATATCCTTGATTATTGTGCATTTTAAGCATTCCTTGTCATGATGAATCCATACTAATAGTGAAACTTTCTACCTTCGACATAAGGGCATATTCCTTTCTTTATTATCTTTTGATTACTGTTGTATGCCACAGCTGAACATTTATTATCTTTGTGTTTTCTTGTGCAGGTATGATCCTTCAACAGGTATTTATGGCATGGACTTCTATGTTGTCCTTGAGCGTGCTGGATACCGTGTTGCTCGCCGTCGCAGGTGCAAGTCCCGTGTTGGCATTCAGCACCGGGTGACCAAGGAGGATGCCATGAAGTGGTTCCAGGTCAAGTACGAAGGTGTTATCCTCAACAAGGCCCAGGCTAATACATCTTAAGACCTGATTTGATAGGTTTTAGGTCCAGTCACTGCTTGTTATGAGCGCAGACAAGTTTTTATTTCACCTAATGCAATGCCGGAGTATATTATTTTGCCAAGTCGTTTTGTTTGAGTTCGTTTTGCACTTGGGAGCGTATAACGCCGGTCACTTGAAAAAAGAAAAATCCGAAATCATGTCTTGCCTTTCATACTGCCCTCTCCTCTCTGTTCCTTTGTTGCACCATCTTACATTTCTTAGCTTTCCTGAGCTTAAGAAAAGTGTTATTTATTGTCCAACACAACATTGCATGGTGAACGTGAGATGGTGATCCTTGAACCGCATAGTTGTCATGACCATGGTGCTTTTCGAAATTATATCAGTATAAAATACCAGATATTTGGAATAATCCGTTTGAAGTTGCGTGAGAATCGATTTAATTGGCATCGTGGGCAGGCCCCTACAACCAAAAGGGATGGCTGCATTAGCGTCAAAACATTATCCTGCGAGTTGCTGAAGCTGACACCATACTCACGTATGGGATGATGAGATTTTGTGCAGCTCAAATCGATTCCTGGAGATTAGAAAAGGCTGAGACGGCGTTGCAGATAACCGAAATGGTCTATTTTGCGTGTGATTTCGCATAACATTGATAGATCAGTAATACTCCCTCCGTCCAATAATATAAGGGATTTTGAGTTTTTGTTTGTACTGTTTGACCACTCGTCTTATTCAAAAAATTTGTGCAAATATAAAAAATGAAAAGTTATGCTTAAAGTACTTTGGATAATAAATTAAGTAAAAAAAATAATAATTCTAAATTTTTTTAATAAGACGAGTGGTCAAACAGTGCAAGCAAAAATTTAAAATCCCTTATATTAAATTTAAAAATTTAATAAGACGAGTACAAAGCACAAGCTGGTTTTTTGACTTTTAGATGGATGCGATTTATTCCTTTCATTGCATAGTCCGTGGTCGAAACTGTATACCCAACGACTTTTAGAAATGTTTCTGCAGCCATTGCGTACGAACGTGCTACAATTCCATGCATGTTTAATTAGCTTCCTTGCGCTTGTGTCCAATTTTAGTTTAGCCGCCATTTGTAAAAAGTCCAAAGAAACCAAGTAAACCATTGGCAATGCCAAGTTTTCTCTTGTTTTGAAGCAAGGCTTGAAAGTGGGTGATGTTTACAGTAACTGATCGAAGCCGCAGTTCAACTTCAATTTTATAAAACAACATCCGGAGTTTCGCGGATAATGTGAGATAGCGGTGCTCGACTACGTTCCAGATGGATTCCAGAGGAGATGACTGTGACAAATGGAGACTAATCCAGATCGAGATAGGCGCCAGCCATCTATTTAGACTGACCGTGTTTTTCTTTCTAGTTGAGAATTGAGAATACGCAAGAGGATTGCGGATCTTTGTATTAAAAGAGAGAAAGAAATACAGCCCAATCGTCCAAGTCCACGTATATAAACTAACAACAGAATTACACATCAAGGTATGTAAGAAAAGAAACACAATACTTAGAGCGGAGCTGCAGTAATATCATTAGGGTCAGATGACCCCGATGGCATTCAATCCATCAAGTGAGTAATTCAGTATTTTGTAGCTAATGACCCCAGCGGCAAAAGATTAATGACACCGACCAGCCCACTAAACTACTAGAGCTCATGAAAGCTGAAACAATAATACAACTATTTATTAGCTGTGTTATGCTACTGTCAACCCACTACTAATGATGCAATTAGACATATTTGATCTTTTAACCAACTATTTATTTTGACTATGTACCGTGTATATCAATGCATTAGACCTGTAGTTTTGCTAATCAACTACTAGATGTTAGGTGTATTTTTTTAAGCTACTAGATTTAAATTTGTATTAAAATACAGTTAATTTTGTATGTACCGTCTCATCTTAACCAATCACAATATTTCCTAATTTATTTTTTTTCGTACTTTCTTTTCCCAATCATCTGTTGCATCATCATTGTCATCATCTGAGTCTGATTGGTACTGTTGCTGCATCTGTTGCATCATCATTGTCATCATCTGAGTCTGATTGTCCAACACCTGAGCAATTGTTGGGTTCTCGGGCGGTGGGGACGGACTGTTGTCAGATGCACCGTTGGCACGTGCTCCATTGATCGGCTCTTCGCTGCCACTGGCGTTGTTCGAGTCGCGTGAACCATTCCTTATCTCCATCTGAAGGGGATAGGTAGAAATATGAGAAAAGGAAGAAAAACAGGGGCTCAGAAACTAATCTTGCTTATGAATTTAAGTGCAATTATCTTAATCTTGATTAAAACACTGAAAAAGAGGCACGCAACTCCTAATTGAGGCAGTCATACCACTGACACATGATATCGGCCGCCGACTAGCCCACAAGCAACAAACCTAAACACGAAAACTAGCAAGCAACCAGACTAAGAAGACGATAAAGCTAAGGGCGGCGACTCTGAAGCTCGAGGCGGCGCTTGCAAACGAGGGATAGGACTGACATCTAAAGTAGACAAGGGATAGGAACCAATTCATGCTCAAACCCAAATTAAACAAAGCAAAAGAAAACTCAAATAAATAACCGAGCATGATGATTTTTATGCATAGAACATTTTTCATGAACTCAAATAAAGACACTAATGCAACTAAACAATAAATTAATGCATAGACTAGTTGCATGGAAAACGATGCGCATAACATTGCCCCCATCGAATATAGACACGACCTAATGCATAACCCCCAATAAATTCCCGACTGACTGTCGAATAAACTCCAACTAAAATTTTTCTAAAGCCCTAGACTGAGCTAATATTTTTTTTTTAAAAAAAAAAAATCCGATCCGAAAGAACGACCAAGATTTTTCCCGCAAACCAAAGAGGCAAAACTCCAAATTTTCCCGAAACCAGTCCAGGTGCAAAAAGGCATATGCAGATGAAAAAGGGGTTCAGAGGGCTCTTAGGTTTCCAGTTGGCTTGTCCTACGGTCAAGGTCGGCTCTGATACCAACTTGTCACGCCCAGAAATTCTCGAACCAGAATTTCTAAGCTGAATGTGCATTAAATCCCTGTCCAGGACCAGCCAGGGTACACAAACGACAATTGTTGACATACAGATCCACGTCTTACAAAAATAGAAAAGATTACAAATGCAGCGGAAAAGATAAAAGCGAGCTAAACCGGGAAGCTTGACTTCAGCAGCGGGCGGCTCCACTCCACAGGCAATCCTTGACGGCAGCGACGAAACCAACTTTGACAAAACAGCTCCAACTAGGAAGATCTTCAGCTCTGGTGTGGGGGAAAAGAGAGCAAGACTGAGTACTACCCACTGTACTCAGCAAGTCATACCGGAAGAGGAGGTATGATGCAGGATATAACCAAAGGAGGCTAGAGGTTCTTTTGCATAAAGCTAGCATTTAAAAGCAGTAGTTGAAAGCAGTAAAACAGTTGTAGTAATTAATCAATATTAACCAAACACTGTCCAACGCTACACCACGTTGCAACAGGCCCAACCAACCACCTGAACTACACCAGTTCATTAAGCTAAACTAGGGGTGAGACTAATCACGGTGAATCTGGTTGATCGCCCATAACCGCGGGCACGGCTATTCGAATAGTTTTACTCTGGCCAGAGGTGTACAACTGTACCCACAAGACACGATTCCACACATGTCGCCATGCCCCGAAGTATCACCATGATACTGCAAAGGGGGAAATCGTGACAAGACCCTCCACATAACCCTCCCCTAACCATCCACACCACGCTAAGGTTTCACCCCCACCCCTCAAAAGGCAGTGGGCGGTCCCCTCTTGCGCCGCGGTGAATCCGGCAGCTGGACAACCGGACACCCCGGCCGACCCAACTCCATCACGCCCACCCTCGCCACCGGTGCCTAGGAAAGGGTCGAGCTATACTTCAGATCAAGCAGTTACCCACTCCCGCTTGTGGTAAGCACGGTAAGTCTCCCAGGGTTTCCCGTGAACCGGTCCTTAACTGCCATGGGTGCGACCAGCAAAACCATGCACCCACAACCCACCATTCAATGTATTTTAATTAACTAACACCATTGCGGTGGCACCAATCCAAAGCTATGCTCATAGTCAAAGTCTATGTAATAAGGTGATCCCCATTTGTGTGCTAGTTGAACTAAGCATGGCTAAGCATTTCCTAAACCAACATCTAGTCATTTTGATACCCAGGTTATCAATGGCATAAGGTAAACAATAAATGGCTGAGTAGTCGGACCCATCCCACATGATATTGTAAAAGAATGCAACATTTAATAGAAATGCGGGATATTTGTAAATTGGGTACAATATGATCAAACGTATTGCATGACTTGCCTTGCTCTCGCACTGACGAGACCTCAGCAACGTCTTCGAGAAACCGTGGATCGACGAAACGGCCGAAACCTACGCGACAAACAAAGCACACAAGCAAAACATGCTATAAGACTACAGAAACAGGAAACAAAACCATTTTTAATGGATTCTTTGCATTTTTCTTGATTTACTGAGACTTGAATGGGCTTAAACGGAGCTCGGATGAATTACTTATGAATTTTAGAAGATTCACTGTGTTTATTACTATAAAAGAAATCCTTAAATAAATTATTACGCAATAAATTCCAGGGCTGACGTCAGCGCGGGGCGGCGCGGCGCCGACATGTGGGACCCACCGGTCAGCGGCACGGGAGAGAGAGAAAGGGGGCGGCGGCTCGCGGGCCCACCGGTCAGTGACACGGGGAGAAGGATGGGGCGGCGGCGCCACGTGGCGGCCGAACCGACGGCCCGGATCGCCCTCAGGCCGATCGGACGGACGACGGCGGCGGCAACCCCGGGCTCGGATCGGCGTCAAAGCCGATCGGCCGACCCGAGCTAGCGGCGGCGGTGCGGGCGCGTCGCGTCGCCGGCGACAGCATCCGGCGGCGGAGGCGACGCGAAAGCGGCGGCAGCGGACGGCGGCAACGACCCAAAACGACGGCGAGCGCGGGCGACGGCGACGCACGGGGAAACGGGGAAGGAGAGGAGAGGAGATGCCTCACCGAGGGTGGCCGGCGCGGAGGAAGGCGATGGCGAACGGCGGCGGCAAGCCACGGGAGGCGACGGCGACCGGCGGACGAGCTCCGGCGTGCCCTAAGGAAGGAGGAGAGAGGGATTAGAGAGAGGGAGGTAGACCCCGGCGGTCGGATTCCATGGCCGAAGGCGGCGGTA